CCAAACACTGCTGGGTTGTCACAAATATGTGGAGAGAAAGTGTCTCTGCTGATGCAGAGACAGACCTGAGGAAGTCACTGAGTACAGCGTTGACAGGCTCCCTTTTTTTTAAAGTTTGGCAACAAAATTACTTGTCAGTGTGACATCTGCTGTCACATTCCTTTGGCAGAGTTTAACTGCAGATCAGAGCCTGTAACAACATGTGGCCCATCAGATGACTCTGGGTGCCTGGGCCTCTGTGACACCAGCTTAAGACTGCAGCCGATGGCATCTGTGTGTTGACAGTGAATGCATTCATTCATACACTTCCCTAATTCAGACCTAATTCATCCCTGTGAATACCTGTTAGACTGAGGTGCAGAAGGGTGTTGAAACAACAGCCTGAGAAGCTACATGGCCTTTAACTGCAAGATTTACCACCATCACAAAATAATCTTCACGATGGTGTGGTTTGCTACTGAATTAATGATAGTCCCAACTGATGTAAGCCACTCAAATTATAATGGAAATAGAAGTCTTTTACATATGTGAGCCAATGAATACTATTCATTTGAATAATTTTTGTTTAGTTGTTCTTGTATATAAACTTTATTCCTCAATTGTGGCCAGTGCTCTTAAACCATCCAAGGAGAGTCAGGCAGACTTGAAGAGCAACAACCAAGTTAGAAAACCAAGAACTCTTCCAAGTCACAAATTATCATTATAATACCAGTATGGGCCTCAGCCTGGTTAAAGCATTCATCAGAGATGAATCATTACAGGTGGAGAGTCAGGGCAATGACACAGAAGATCATTGCAAACGATGCCTGAGCTATTTGCTGTGGGATTGATGGGGCAATAACTTCACTCAAAAATTTCTAATGTTGCAAGCTAGACATGAAGTAGGCTGCGCTTTGTGATTTGAAGTGGAAGCCAATGAATCAAGCATCCTCTGTGCTAAGGATTCGTTGAGGCATTTTGCTTCATACTTGGACGACTTCAATAGCATCCTAACAACTGATCTGGTCTATAGTCTTTCACCACTTGAGAATATTCTACCCACACTGCCATATTCACACCTGAAATGGCTCCATATCAACCCTCAGCCCCAGCTCCTAAAAAAACCTATTCATCATCAGGCATGATGGTACACACTTATAATACTGGTACTCAGGAGGTTACGGCAGGAGGATTGGGCTCAAGATAAGCCTGGGCTAAATATCAAGTACAAGGCCAGCCTGTACAAACTGAGACCCTGTCTCAGAATGGTCCCACTGCTCCCAAAAATTACCATAAGTCTTTGGCTGGATGGAACTTAACCTCTCCAGGTTGACATGTCTCAACTTCCTATTGCCTCCAAACTGGTCAACTCAGCATCCTCATGCCTATTACCTTTACACTAGCTTCTCTTAGGTTTTACCTCATCCTAAACTTTACTTAGCCTCCACATCTTCCCTAGAGTATTCCTGAACCAGCCCCACCTTCCTCCAAAACAATTCATTCATCCTCAATGATCTTGAACACATACCACATGGACATAGACATTTTTATCACAAAGCCGTTACCTGTTCATCTAGTGCTCATTTCTTCCTTTGACTGATAGAATCTTTGCATTTGACATCATGCTAACCTGTTCCAGCCACATCTGTTCAGCATCCTCTATGGCACATAACTTAACACTAATAGAGAGAAGAGCCCACAGGTATTCAGCTGCTCTGCCCAAGTTCTTTATAATTCAAGGGAGTGTGAATTAGTTTTGAAGTTTGGATGAGGTGAGCAGGAGTTAGATCCTGTTTGTCTTGTTGCTGTAGCAAGTAACCTTTTATAAGAACTTCTCAGCAGTAAATTCTTTGCCTTTGTAAGCTGTATATTCAAATTCCCTTATAAGCTAATTTTAAAAGTATGCTTTCTGCCTTCATCCCCAAACCAGAAACTCTCTATAGTTTTGCCCGATTCTGTATTAATTCCTTGACTTAGTTGAAGTAAGTATAGATAGACATTTCCCTTGAATTTCACAAGCCCTTTAATTTGAAACACAATTTCCATCGGCAACTGGACAGTGGTTAGGAGCATGCAAAGTCTCAGATGTTTGTGCCTCAGCTCCTATTATCTCCTTGTGGAAACCTTTGTGAACCCCACATACTTGGAGATGCTCTGATTACATGTGTGCTAAGAGGAACCAAAGCCAGACTGAGCATATTAATTCAACAGAGAATTTTTAGATAATCTAGAGTATGATCATCTCTACCATTTCACAAACTTGAGCAAATTAAAACCAGGATATTTTGATACCTTGGAGGCTATTACCAAGCTCCCAACAGGCGCTGACAAGTGTTTGGCATGCTGATGTGATACCCATGCCGCCAAAAGGAAAACAACAACTGCAGAGAAATGTGTGACTTCACCAAAGGCTTCCTGACTTTACACCCATCCCTGCACCATCCCTAATCTCACAGCCAAACTCTATTAGACATCTTCTTCGACTGGGCAATTTCAGATTCCCCTGCCTCTGACACTGCCGCTGTCTAATCCATAAGTGATGCTCATTCCCAGGTAAAAGGAGAGGAGGGGTGGGGAAGACACGGTGACAAGCGTTTTAGTTGCAGCTCACTGTTGGGGAGCGAGGCTGTTCCTAGAGGAGAGGCTGGTGAGCTGACTGCATTTGCCTTTCTGTTTCTTCTGTCACCCAGAAAGTGCATCTCATTACCACAGAGTCAGCACACACACTCATGTCAATCATCTCGGGGCCAGATGCGTCTCTTTTCATCACAATGTGTTCTATAGCTGTCATATGCCGTGCCTTACTCTGAGGCATTCTCTCAGGCTACTTACTCCCACAAGCTCCTAAATGCACTGACATCCCACCTAAAATAGAACCCATAGCCCTCCACTTAAATGCATCCAGCTTCTGCAGCCAATCAGATGGATCAGGAAGGCAAAGGCCTAAGACATTCCAGGCAGCTGGAGTGGACAGGTCTGTTTCTGAGTTTTCACTGTGCATGTGTAGGCCATCTATATCCAATATAGACTAGGACAGGAGGCTAATCCCATGTCTCTCTCTTACAATGCCTGTGGGGTTCACAGGGACTGGCTTTTAGCCTAATGTAAGGCCACCCATCAATAAAGTACTTATGCATTATCATCTATTGATGTGGACTCCTCCTGACCTTGCTTGCACTGATGGGACATGTTCATTGCTGTCACTGCAAGACAGACATCACATGCCTGTTCAGGATACCTGCAAGCCTGACAGCTCCATAAGGGATGGCTGGCCACTTTCACAATAATTGCTTGACCTTCATCAGCGTCCACAGACAAATGCCACTGATACCTGATAGTTGCACAGCTTCTTCATTTTTGCCATCCCACAGGGTTGCTGTGATAGAAGCAATGGCAGATTGGGGAGAGGGCTCTCCAAAACCATCTGCCCAAGTGCTGTAGTCTGGTGGTTCTCCTATTGTCCCACTTCCATCTGGAATCCTGAATCCCAGAACCCTGAAGTCATTCACTGAAAAAAAACATTAGCTGAGACACCATGTCCAAAGCCCTGTGTGAGTACTGTACAATAGAAAACACGATCATTTGTGAACTGGGTCCACAGGGAGTTTATCAGCCAGTGGAAAATTACAGACATGATGTGAAGCATTGTCTAAGAACTGGAGTCCTCCAACACCCAATGGTCAGTGTCTTCCAGGTGGGGGACTCAGGAAACATATGGAAAAACAAGCATTCAGGACCATCTCTGCCACCTGCAAACTCCTCTGCCAGATTACCCCCAAGAGTCCCTTTCGCACTTGTGTTTGATGGATTAAGCAGAGACCTAGCTAATCTGCAGCTCAGTTCAGAGAGGTCTTGTAAGAAGACAGGATGACCTAGAACATCACATGACAGTGAAGTCATGGACCAGGCCACCATGGCTCACCACTGGGGGACAGTCGTTGGTGACAACTTGTCGTGCAATGCACAGTATGAGCAGGAGAAGTAGCCCCACACTCATGCCCTATGACACTTCTTGGGGGTCCACATTTAGAAACAATTCATAGTTGGAGTTTTGCAAATTAAACCTGTCCTTAGCAATGTATACTGAAGTCCCTATTTTAAGATTCTGTAGACACCCTGGATATTTATTGCTCCTGGACATGGTGTCTTCTATCACTGTAACCATATCTAACCACTTGCCTCCTACAGTCATCCCACACAACCCCTTTACTGATGACAGAAGCCAGTGGAGGCAAAGGCCCTGTCCTGTCCCTGGTGTAGAGGCTGAAACCCCTAACAACACACTGCATTTAAGCTGTACATCTCATCTTTCTGACTTCAATCCTCATAGTCACATCACCGCTGTTTGAAGAGTTTCAACCCTTTATTTACTAACCTAACTCTCTGAAGCCTTTGACACACTGAAGTGCCAGGACAAATGTAGCTGGTTGGTAGCCTGCCTGGGAAGCACATCCTGTTTTCCTGTCTCCAAAGTCTGGTCTGTCTACCATATCAATGAGAGGATACTTGCTTGAAGCTGTTAGTCCTTCAGAGTACAGAGGTCAAGAAGCTGACCTTGACCTGAGCAGTGAGTAGGCTAGCAGGGCAGGGTCAGAGAAAAGGAGAGAGGATATAAGGGTCAGATTGTGGAAGGGGAATCCCCAGAGCTCAGCAGGGCATGTAGAGCTCCATTTAGGAGAGGATGTGGTGCCTCTGGTCCATGAAGGCCTTAAGTATTAAGAAATCTATTCTTCCCGTTTCTCCTGGCAGAAACTGCATGTTTACACCTTTATCAATACCTGATTTTATTTTTGAATAAGGTAACTTTCCCTTCCCTTGGTGAAGTCAGTACATGTGTAGCATTTTCCTCTTTAAGCATTCATGCCCTAATATTTACACTATGCCCCTAAGCCCTGGCCTGCTTGTAGATCCTGAATGAGTTCCTGATATCATTCTTAAACACAAAGTCACAATGTGGTCTTCGTCTGTGCAAGCAGACCCAGATTCAGCTGGCTTCTCACCGTCGGGCCTATCTCTTGCAGATTATTGGAACCATTCCACTGATGCCTAACCCAGGGCCTTCGAGTCAAGCAGCAAGTGGCACTCAGGGCCTTCAAGTACAGCCTATCACGCCCCAGCTCCTAACAAATGCCCAGGGCCAGATCATTGCCACGGTCATCGGAAACCAAATCTTGCCTGTGATCAACACCCAGGGTATCACCCTGTCCCCCATCAAGCCTGGCCAGCAGGTAAGGATCCCACACCAAGGTCCCAATTCACTTCTCCTCTCCTCCTTTCCCTTCTTTGCTCTCAATGTAAAGTAAATTTTTCATTATAAAAGATTTAATAGTTTCACTAAACCTAATGTATCAATACTTATAAAATGACACATATATTTATTTCCTACTCTTAGCAAATATAAGTAATAACATTAATGGCTCCCTAACATAAAACCAGGAACATATTAAATTATAACAGACACCATGACCAAAAGTCAGTTATAATGTGTCCTTCTTAATCTAGACCCAATATACTTTTCTGTTTGTTTTTTAAGTAGAGCCAAAAAGAAGCACAAACTACTTAATCCTTAACTATAAATGAAAAAAAAAAGTTAAACACAAAGCAATCCCAAGCTGAAGCTCTGCTGCAACAATTGTCTACAAATGAAAAATGAAAGATAGGCAGTTCTACTCAGTAATTGCACTAAAATTCTGATGGCAGTTTACTTTTTCATTCAAAGACGAACTGAGCTTTTTCCTGTGTGTGTGTGTGTGTGTGTGTGTGTGTGTGTGTGTGTGTGTGTGTGTTATGCTAGAAGTTGAGCATGCTGCACTGAAGAAGAAAGATGTGGTCCTTGATCTTCATGGAGATTTTGGTTGGCTAGTCCCTTCAATGAGCAATTTTGATCATCTATAGGAAGACTCAACTGAATGCTAGCTAAGAAACACAGAAATGCTTTCTAATCAAGGGGAGGATGGTGTTATGTGGGACATGGACTTATATAAGCAGAACCCTTTCCCAATAAAGCAAAGAAGGGCCTGTAACAGTGTAGGAAGAGTAAGAACTGATGAAGAAAATGAATTAGCAACACTCCAGAAAGTAGGAAGAGTAAGCACAAAGGGAAAGAAGATGTGCTGAGGGCCCAGGGAGTGGTTCGTGGGGCACCATAGGACAGGCCGGGGACAGTTATGGGTGGAGTGTATAATCAAATCAGAAGGCCTAAGTTTTATTTCTGTGTGATCTTGAAGATGTCACATGCCAACTTCCTGCTCAAATTGTCTCATTTGCAAAAACAAAATGGGATGGGGATGGGAATACCAGTATCTACCTCAAAGAATGTGTGTAAGAGGGTTAGAATTGTGTCTAGTAGACAGCAAACTATAATCCAATCAATATTGCTGGGTGGTGCCTCTCTACTGCTGATGGTAGTGAAGATGCCACCCTGGGAACCATAAGAGATGGGTGTTATACAAGAAGGAGTTACATGCTCAGTTTTTCCCCTAAGAAAATAAGTCTGATTCAGGGCGGTAGTGGCACACGCCTTTAATCCCAGCACTCAGGAGGCAGAGTCAGGCAGATCTCTGTGAGTTCGAGGCCTGGGCTACCAAGTGAGCCCCAGGAAAGGCGCAAAGCTACACAGAGAAACCCTGTCTCAAAACACCAAAAAGAAAAAAGAAAATATGTCTGATAGTGACATGAAAGTCGAACTGAAGTGATGACATTTCCAACATAAACTATTTAGGGGACAATAGTGAAACCCAAGCAAGCATTGATGAGCACACCTATTGGACACCAGCTGACAATTGGAGTCTAGGTCATTTACTGTAACTGAAAAATAAAGGAGACCTCTAGAGATAGCCTGAAGAACAGGAAAAGGAGCAAGATCCAGGGACTTTGGAAAATGCCAGCTCTTAAAAAGTAGAGGAGAGGGAAAAGAGATGATAGACAAGTACGGGAGAAATATGGGATGAGGCAACCTAGCACAAGAATGACAAAACAGTAGGACCCGGGCAGGTATTAAATGTTGCAGAGAAGATTTGGGGTAGATCACATTTTAAAGTGTGGGTCAGTTCTGTTTTAAGTACTTTAAAGTTAAGCAGGGCTAAGAGCCAGAAGGATAGAAAGAGGATAGAAAGAATGTGAAGGCTAGCATCCAGTGGGTAGTTGGGTGTGATGGTTTGAAAGAAAATGGCCCCCAAAGGGAGTGGCACTATTAAGAGGTGTGGCCTTGTTGGAGGAAGTGTGTCACTGTGGGGGTGGGCTTTGATGTCTCCTTTGCTCAAGCTTCCCCCAGTGTGACAGTCAGTTGACTTCCTGTTGCCTGCAAGATGTAAAGCTCTCAGCTCCACCAGCACCAAGTCTGCCTGCCAACTGCCATGCTCCCCACCATGATAATAATGGACTGAACCTCTGAACTGTAAACTGCCACCTCAATTAAATGTTTTCCTTATAAAAGTTGCTGTGGTCATGGTGTCTCTTCACAGCAGTAAAAACCCAAACTAAAACACTTGGAATAAGGCTTTGTATGTTGTTGGGAGACTGTAGGATATGAAGCAGTTGGCAGGGAGGGGAAGGGATGGGAACAATAGAGCACCAGTATCATCATTTGCTACAGCAAAGAAAAGCCCCTCCAGAGACCTCGGCATCACCTGTGCCTTTCCACCTCAGTAGCACTCGGAGGCTATGCATAGAAACCCACTTGTTTGCTCAGTTAGTATTAAAAATATGTTTACTGGAAATATTTTTTTGGCCAGCAACCATATGTCAGACAGTGTACCTGGAAATTAGCTATGTGGATAGGCAAGACAGTCACCATGGCCTCTTCTTTCACAGAGTTTACAACCTAGCAAGGAAGATCCACAGACTTCAAAGACTTATTCAGATATGTAACCACTCCATGGTGGATGTCATGATGAAAAAAAACAAACAAACAAAAAACAAACAAACACAAAAACCTGAGAGGAATATGACACTATTGAGCAAGAAGTAGCTGTTGCCTGGAAATACACATCATGGAAACTAGGGTCTGTGTCTCTCTCTGTGCACCAGAAGTGTAATCTTGGCCAGTGGAGCCATTGTTCTTAGCTGGACCCCAGGCCCAAAAGAGGTCCCTGACAGACCCACCTTTAAGTTAAAGACTTTCCTACCCACAATCACCTTTTGCTATTTACAAGGGTCCATTTGATTGTTTGATTCTCTGCCTTCAAAAGAGGCAAGCTTCTCTCTCTTTCACTAATCGTACTATAGCCCAGGCTAGCCTGGAGCTTGCTGGATAAACCAGACCACCTTGAACTTATGGGCATGCAGCTTCCTTTGCTGGGATCAAGCTGTGTACCACACGCCCAGCCCCTCTGGCTTCTTAAACTCTAGTTCTGTTTGTTTCAGCCAGTTCATAATTATCTCTATTATCTCTAGAGAGAAAAATGAGGCCTGCCTCTCTTCTCACAATCTGATTTTTAAAATTTTTAAAAATTGAAAAACTATTTCTGTCAGCAAAGCTAAGTTCTAAATTGTCAGCAAAGGTGATAAATTCATTAAAAATCATCAGCACTTAATGTAAAGTTGCTCTCACCTTGAATTTCAAAGGTGGGTATATAGGTATATGGTAGAATTAAGGGGCCTGATTAATAAACAGAGACACTTTTCAACTCTGCCTACCATAGCTATCAGCAATATTTCCAGTCTCCCCCAAGCACCCAGAAACACTTCCAGAGCTTTCCCACACCATACATGTCTCCCCTGGATTGAAACCTCACTACTACTGAAGGAACAAGTGGCACTCCACTGTTATGGCCTGGCAAACTCATGTCAGTCACAACTAGTATCCCAAAGAGAGGGATCCCCTTCACAGGTATATGTGCATGCATCTCTTATGTACCTGTGTGCAAACTTGAGAAGTCAAGAGCACAGCTGAAAGGAATGTGGGGAAAGTCACCCACTCCCAAGTCACAGCAGCCACCAAGCCTCTTCTTTCCAGCAGAGCCAGAGTCTGCCCTACTCCAAGCAAAGCTGAGGGAACCAAGGTGAATGGTAGAGATCAGCAGAAGAGTTTGTCTTGGGATTAGCTGTAACTGAAACACTTTGGAGCATGAAGTTAAGATATGCAATTGGGCAAATCACCAATAGATATGCAAGTTTAGGTCCTGGATACAATGGCTATGATCCCAAGCATCAAAACACTCCCAATCAATGGTGAAAGCCAGACAATAATATATGACAATAGTGGCCTTCACTCTGTCTTTAAATAGTACCCTTGGCATTGAAGAAATGTACTGTGGACAAGCACTAAAACTAAAGGATCTCTACCATCCAGTAGGAGTCGTCTCAATTTATTCTTTTGAATGATTGATGACAAATGCTGGGTCTCACAAGAGCACAGATGTGACAGTAAAATATGTCATAAATTAAACGAAATCCACATGAAGTACAGAGTTCTCAGGTTGGATGACCTGGAGTGGATCACTTAGATTTTTTAAATAGTACTAACCATTCCTTAAGCTTTCCATTGGCCTACCACTGACCGAAAGGACCTGAATGAAATCTAAGAATGGAGTCTTTAGCACTCTTCCTGAAAGATGAGAGGAGGCTGCCAAGTTATTGTCTGAAACACAAAACAGTACTTGAGAGTACATCAGGATCCAACAGTTCTAGGTGAAGCTCCACAGAATCTACCAGATCAGAGAAGCTTGATGAGCAAGGCAAGAACATAAAAGAACTAGATGTAAAATAGAAACTTTTTATGTGTGAAAATGAAAGTATTTAGTGGAGCCCAAAAGCAGCCTTTTGTTCCTTGCCCTGGATTTTGTGGCTGCCCTGGCTCTTGAGGACTCATTTGAGTCCGAGAATGGCCCCCAATCACACGTTTGTCCTGTGACTGATTTCATGATTCTTTCATATGCCATTGTTCTCTCTCTCTCTCTCTCTCTCTCTCTCTCTCTCTCTCTCTCTCTCTCTCTCTCTCTCTGTTTTCTTCGTTTCACTAAATCCTAGCAAATGTTGAGAACTTTTGTCTCACAAGGAAAGTTTGAAAAGCAAATATTTCAACCTATACAGTTAAACACCAACATTTTAAAAATTATTATGATACTGAGAGATTCCCATACAAGTAACCTTCAAAGTAAACATTCTGGAGTTTTCTTCTGAACATTCAATGAGACCAGAAAACCAATAGCTGAAGCAACTTAGCTCAGCTCTCTTAAAATGCCATGTGATCACCCCATTCTACCTTTTTCTTTTCAAATAAATGCAA